CAACCATAAAAGGGGTAAAATTTTGCAGCAGGATGGTGCTCCATCACATACTTCTATCTCTACATCAAAGTTTCTCAAGGCGAAGAAGATCAAGGTGCTCCAGGACTGGCCAGCCCAGTCACCAGACATGAACATCACTGAGCATGTCTGGGGTAGAATGAAAGAGGAAGCATGGAAGGCAAAACCAAAGAATCTTGATGAACTCTGGGAGGCATGTAAGACGCTTTCTTTGCTATTCCTAATGACTTCATCAACAAATTGTATGAATCATTGTTGAACCGCATGGATGCGTCCTTCAAGCTCATGGAAGTCATACAAGATATTAAATCTGGATCTCACAGCACCACTACTTCATTCACTGATGTTATGCAACATATTTTTGTATTTGAAGTAAATTATTTGTTCAGTTTTCTGTAGGCGACAAGACTTTTGTCTTGCCAAAATCTGACCTTTCTGTGTTCATTAAATGATCAATCTTTCTTCAGTGAAGCAAATTTATTTTAGTATATTGAGCATAATTTGGGAGGGTTTTAGCTTTCATATGAGACATTTCTAAAACCAATCGATTAATTTAAAGTCAGGTTATAAGCTTTTGTTTCTACAAAATGGATAAGCGACAAGACTTTTGTCAGGGACTGTACATTCTAACATAGATGAGGAAATGGTGTGATATAGGTCATTCAAGGTTTTGTTTTCCTTTAAAATAAAGCTGTATTACACTGAGATGAGGAAGTGTAGCTGCAGTGTGTGTGAGTACTCCTGGGTGTGTGGCTGCTTTTCTTAATCAGATCAATGAGAGTTTGAGCAGAGGAGTATTTTAAGCTGATCCCTTCTCCGCTCCGGAAGGTTCCACTAAAAGGCTTAAGCTTGGTCAGCAGCCTCCACACCAGAGCCTGACTTGATGGTTTTCAGGTTGTAAAATGTGATGAAGTTATACTTCTTAATGATTCCTTCAATCAAAGCAAGTCATCCAGGTCCTGAAGCAACAAAGCAAAGCAAAACATGACACTACCACCACGTTTCACTTGGCATGATGTTCTTTTTATCAAATGCTCTGTTCATTTTACACCAGATGTAACGGGATGCACTCCTTCCAAAAAAAATTCAACTTTTGTTTCATCAGTTCACAGAATATTCTCCCAAAAGCTTTGGGGATCATCGAGATGTTTTTTTTGGCAAGTGAGACGAGTCTTTATCTTCTCTTTTGTCAGCAGTGGCTTTTGTCTTGGAACTTTGCCAGTCATGACATTTTTTGCCTAGTCTCTTTCTTTGAGCCATGAACACTGGCCTTTACTGAGACAAGTGAGGCCTGCAGTTGTTTAGATGTTGATGACCTCTTGGATCAGTCATTGCTTTGCTCTTGGGGTAATTTTTGTAGGCTGGAGATTCCTGGGAAAGTTCACCACTGTACCATGCTTTCTCCATTTGTAGAAAATAGCTCTCACCACAGTTCGCTCGAGTCCTAAAGATTTAGAAATGGCTTTGTAACATTTTCAATGACTTTTCTTCTTATCTGCTCCTGAATTTCTTTGGATCATGGCATGATGTCTTGGATTCAATATGGGCTGCTTCACCTTGTCAGACAGGTTCTATTTAAGTGATCTCTTGATTTGCATGAAGTCTGGGTGTGGCTATGAAATTGCACTCAGAAAAAAATAAAAACACCAGGATCATGCAGAGCGGGTTAATACAAACATTTTAAGACCAAAATGAGGAGCCTGAGAGATGGGCGATGCTTTTTCAGTATAAAATGAATTGGAGTCTATAGAGCCAGAGCGCACTCATGCTCATTTATATATACAGTCTATAAGTTCACATGCATCCTGCTTGGAGTCCAGTTTCATCCTGATGTCAGAGGTTCAAAATAATGCAGAAATGGACTGTAAAATAAACCACAAAAATGCAAAAATATCCCTTTATACAGTTATTAGAAAGACTGCACGGTTTCAAATTTCTTACCATTATAATTTTAGCTCTTTTTGCAGCCATTACATTTTTATTTTGTTTAAGTATGTGCTTTGATTTAAATAAAGTGGCTATACCTGTTTTTCCCCATGTATTTAAGCAGATATATTGTTTAAGCAGCTCTTCATCAAAATAAGTCCACTGTGTTCAGACTACTAACATGCTTGTTATTGCTTTGGTCTCTTAAAGTTGTGATAAGCACTTACAAACTCATTGAGGTGAATAATTAGGATGTTCTGAATGCATAAAGTAAGTGAGGAATAACTTTGGGCAACTGTTTAAGTCTGTTTTTCAGACAGTAAAAATCAGGTAGTGTCTTTAATATATTTTTAATACGCATAAAACAAAACAATAATTGCAGTATTTTCATTTTTATATAGCTCTCTCTTTGTAGACTGGTTGTAATGTAGTCCTGGTTTAGTTCTGATCTTGTTCACATGGTTTAGTTTGTGTTTTAGTTCAATATGTGTGTGTGTGTGTGTGTGTGCATATTATAAGAGTAAATGTGATCGCAGAAAAAAATCCGTTGAACTGTGACTAACTCTTTCTATAACTATGCTATTTATAGGTCAAGTTTTGTTTCGTTTGGCCCACATGCGGTTTGAGACAGTTCAGTCCAAATGAGTACCCTTGCATTTTGCGCTTAAACATCAGGAAGGCAGGAAGTCACAAGATGTTATTCAAATTCACGATTCTGAAGAAAACCAAAGGAGTTGTGTTTTGTTTCATTGTCACGTCTGAGTAACCCTTTATTATTAGTTTGTCTATACCCCCAAAGCTTAAAATGCTCTGTTCCACCTTATGACCAATAGTTCAGTAGAGACTGGCAATTCTAGACCCTAGTAAAGGTTTAAAGGAAGGAAGAAGAGTTTAAGAACACAGTGGAGCACTTCCTGTATTACCCCATGACATAACAAGGTGGAACAGAGTGTTTTCTGTTTGAAAGAAGGACACCTAAATATGCAGGATTTGTGTGTTAAACATGTGTGAATGAAACAAAATACAATTTCAGGTCTGTTTGTGATAGGGAAACATTAAAATTTAGACCAGAAAATAGTGTAATCCTGGCCCTTTAATATAAACCTCCCTATTAGAGATGGGCAGATTACTGAAACATAGAGAATATTGTGAATGTTTTTTTGAAAATATACTAGGAATGTAACAATAACTGAAATATCATGATATCTTATTGTCAGAGTAATAATATCATGGACCCTCTCAATATATCGAATTACAAGTGTCTTTGCTTAAATTAAAGCTTAAAAAAACGACAGAGGGAACTACATAGACCATGATCCTTTCCTCCATTTCAGTGTAGACTACATGAAGAAAATAACAATTCTAAGCACTTTTAAGTCTTAGTTCTTATGTCTTATTACGTCTTGTCAAAGCATTTTAAGAGGAAAAGGTAGCATATTCACAGTTTTGTTTGCCTCTACAAAATATTGCAATAAATATCGTACCGTGAGATGTATATCGTGAAAATATCGTACCGGGAGATTTGGATATTGTTACATCCCTAATCGTGAGCCTCCCCACCATATCGTGAGTTTTCCCACAATATCACAATAAATATTGTACCGTGAGGTTCATACCGTGACGATATCGTATCATGAGACTTGGATATCGTTACACCCCTAAAATATATAGTGTATGATGTTTGAATATTGCATTTTTTAATTAAAAATGCTGCACAGAAAGTTAATTAAAAACAAAAATGCATGTCTGGACACCGTTGCTATATGCCTGTCATATTAATACACATGGGAGCAACTGAAATGATTATTGTTAAAATGCAGATCAGGTTCAACATTTGTGAATTTACCTTTGGGATATTATGGTAAAGTAAAATGTAATCAGTTGATACTTTGGAGCTGATGTCATCAACATTCCCTGGGAGTGTGGAGCTAACTGGAACCACTGCTCTGTCTCAAACTGTTACTCAAGTTAGAATTAATCCTTTTTTATTTTTTTTATTTTAACACAATCTGACCATAAAGAACTGTGCTTCCTGTGCTGTTAAACAAGACTCTCACGAGAAAAAAAAAAGTCCAAACTGGGAGAGAAACTATAAAATCTTAAACATAATGGTCTTCAGTGTTTTAGTAAAATGACTAGTCTAACCTGTCAAAGGCACTTTAAAGGTTTCCACTCTAAGCACAGGAGGTCATGTAGCTTTGTGTAATATCATCACTTACTGTACTTACTGTAAACAATGGCAAGTGACACATTTAAAGCGCCTTTGACATGTTAGAATAATCTCTTAAATAAAACACACTTTACATTGTTATGTTTAAGAGTTTATAAAACATTTTACTTTTTCTCCCCAAGTTTGGCCATTTTGGTTGACATTTTACTTCCTGCTCTGAAATCATGACATCAAAGTAGTGAATTGTGCAGACAGAATTATTATCTGCCAAATTAAATGACCAGAAAACACTTTTATGTTGTTGAAATAATATTTAAAGGTGGAGGGTCTGTCAAATGCTTGTCTCCATGGAGATGTTATTGCTTTGTCTGGAATGTTTCACAATGTGGTATTAAACCTTTCTATCTTTATGGCGACCAAACCAGACCAAGTTACAGGTCAGATCTGTGGAGAGGCAACCCCGCTCACAGTCAGAATCCGTTTTTCTAGGTATTTTTGATCTATAAAACCACCTGTAATTGAGTAAATGTAAAGTAGAGCTGTTTAATGTCATACTGTGGAACATTCCAGGCAGAGCAATGACATATCCATAGAAACAAGCAGGTGGCGAACCCCTGAACCAAAAAGTTACATTATGCACTTATAAAGTATCAGAAAAAAATAGTTTCTTGTGGGTAAACTGGGCCAACCTCTCAAACAGAATTCTTTACTTCCTGTTTTTCAACTTTTCTTCTGAAACTGCTTCTTGATTTATGTAAAACTATAATTTATATAATACAGATACTATTCCACCAACTTGAGTAGAGCTTAGAGAATTGTCATACACACTGCTACTTGGCTCCACAAACTTGATAAATAAAGTTACATACTTTTATTTGGGGGAAAAAAAGCATCTATATAAGTAAAGAATGTCTGTGTTTTGTCCTCGTAGGTACGCCTGCAGCCTGGTGTATTACGGTTTGACGCTGGGTGCTGGAGAGACTTCAGGAAATCGCTTTGTCAATGTGGCTATGTACGGCCTTGTAGAGCTGCCCGCATACCCGCTCTGCATTTACTTCATCAACAAACACTGGTGAGAACTGAGAAGCACATGTACACTTAAAGGAACAGTGCGTCACGTTCTGAAGGTGGCACGTCAGCTGAACAATTCTATGGAAAAAGAAAATCATCATTTCAAGTAAACAAGTAACAAGTAAAGTAGTACAAATGTATAAATGAAAACAAAACTGTACAAACAAGGATATTTTTAGCTTTTTAATCCCCAGAAAGTATGCCTTAATGTGTAAAATCATTTTTATGTATTTACACCTTTATATTTTTTAGTCACCATTTAATTTAATACTTTCTAACTTTTTTCTTTTATTTACTTATTTATTTCTAATTATGTCATTTTTGGTCCTCCATTAAAAAAGTGACATTCTGTGCAATTTTTCAGTTGAATTATACTTAACATTGCAAAATGTGTATACATATAGATAGGTTAAAATGACTTGAATTTAGAATATTAATATTGATGTTTTTTAGATAATTTACTTTAAAGGTGCAATGTGTAACTTTTCTAGTGGAGGGCCAGTCAAATGCTTGTCTCCGTGGAGATGTTATTGCTTTGTCTGGAATGTTCCACTGTTATGACATTAAACAGATCTAGCTTACATTTATTCAATCACAGGTGGTTTTACAGCTCAGAAAGACAAACAAGTCACATACCACAAAAACAAGTATTCTGACTGTGAGCGGGGTCGCCTCTCCACAGATCTGACCTGTAACTTGGTCTGGTTTGGTCTAAATAAAGATAGAAAGCTTTAAAACTTTGACAGCGTGAAACATTCCAAACAAAGCAATAACATATCCTTAGAGAAAAGTGTTTAATGGACCCCCCACCAGAAAAGTTACACAACACATCCTTAAGTATTACGTTATTTGTTGATGTTTGTATTTACATTTTTCTGATACCTTTTAAAATATTTTAATGTGAAGTTTAATCTTGATTCAGGTCAGAATCATAGATACTGATAACTTTTGGGTTGATTTTGGTAATGTCAAAATTCTCCTCTTTTACTGAAATTACTTACTTCTTCCCCAAAGCTGTCACCATACTAAATGAGAACTGTTAATTTGCTTTATTTATTATTTATTCTTGCACTTGATGGAGCAGCTCTGGCTAATGACAATAAAGGCTATCTATATTCTATTCTATTCTATTCTTGAAAATGTATTGCCATCATTATTCTCACAGTTAAAAACATTAGGATTTTATTGTTATGTTGTTCCCTTATCAAAAAAAAGACCTGGAAGTTGTGTTTTGTTTCATTCACACATGTTTGAGTAACATTTTATTATTCGTCTGTCTACATCTCCAAAGCACAAAATGCTCTGTTCCACCTTGTGATGTCATGAAGCAGCAGTTTTCAAGTTAACAGCTTTTACCTTTAGCTCAGTACAGTATCCAAATGATTCTAGTGAAGGTTTATGGAGTTTAAAAACACACTGAAGCGCTTCCTGTTTTCCCACATGACATTACAAGGTGGAACAGAAGAGTGTTTTCTGAGAGAGAAAAACTCAGCCTAAATCTGCAGGGTTTGTGTGTGTTAAACATGTGTGAATGGAACCAAACACAACCCCAGGGCTGTTTTTAATGATGCAACCAATTCATAACAGATCAGAAAATAGTGTAATACAATGCAAGTTAAGTTTTGATTTTGTTTGTTTTGCCTCCATTTTTACAAACCACACCCCTATGGCCATTCCAGTTTTCATTTCTTTTCATTACAGCCATTTAATGTCAACGGATGAGTCTACAGATTGTGTGGATGGTGTAAAATTCCCTGTTGTAACCTGATCTTTGGGCAAATGGAGAGGAGTAACTGTTTATTCCATTACAGGGCTGGGAGGAGGAAGAGCATGGCTGGATTCTTGGGTCTGGCTGGTTCGGCCTGTCTGCTCACCATGTTTATCCCTCAAAACACAGGTCAGACCCACACAAAAATACAATAAAAATTCCAATATTACGCTTTTTTCTTATCCACACACCTTCACTAGAATCACTTTGATCATTTCAGTTCTGGAATTGTCAATCTCTACTGAAAAGTAAAAGGAGCTGTTAACTCGAAAACATCATAAGGTGGAACAGAGCATTTTGAGCTTTGGAGATGACTCTTGTGAACTTTTACCATGTTATAATGTTGTTACTTCATCAAAAACATACCCAGGGTTGTGTTTTGTTTCATTCCCACATCTTATATTATTAGTGTGTCTACATCTCCAAAGCTCAAAATGTTCCACCCTATGATGTCATATAGTATAGTATAATTTGATAAGTTTACAGCTCCTTTTACCTCTAGTTCAGCAGAGATTCGCAATTCCAGGGCTGAAATGATTCAAATGATTCTCGTGAAGGTGCATGGAGTTTAAAAACACAGTGGAGCACTTCTTGTGTCAATGCGGAACAAAGTGTTTTCTGTTTGGGAGAAGAACTTCGGTGTTCTGTGTGTGTTTTTATAATTTCTTCTTCATTAGATTTTTGTTTTCTTTGCAGACAAGAGACAAAAACTAAATAAAATGCAAATTACAGTACAAAATACACACAAAAATGTGACTTAAAATCAGAAAAGGAATGGAGTAAAAAGGCTGCGTTATTCCATTTCCTCAGATGCATTGTGCAGTCCACCCTCTCTGACCAACCTTCTGTGTTTGCACATTCTGAAAATTATCTAAACCTGAAAACATGTTGAGAATGTGGGGACGAGGTTGGCAGGGCAAGTATCTTCAGTTCTTCAGTATTATTTATTGGGGATGTCACTGATAATTCTCTCTCTCCAAAGGGCTCATATTACACTAGAGTTGTGCTTTGTTCCTTCACACATGTTGAACACCCAAACCTTGCATTTAGGCCAAGTTCTTCTCTCAGACTCCACCTTGTGATGTCATGTGGTAATATAGGGTGTGCTTCACTGTGGTTTTAAACTCCGCAGACCTTCTTCAGAATCGTTTGGGTCATTTCAGATCTGGAAATTCCAATCTCTACTTTACTAAAGGTGCTGAACTGAAGGAACTGAAAGGTACAACTACATGACATCACAGGGTGGAACAGAGCACTGCGAGCTCTGGGGATGTAGACAGACTAGTAATGCAGGGCTACTTAAACATGTGTGAAACAAAACACAACTTCAGGTCTGTTTTTGATGAGGACAACATTCTAACATGGCTTAAAGTTTACAGGACTGACTTTATTTCTTCTAGCTGAGAAAAAAACAACAAAACAGCTTTTACAAAAATGAAGAGCAGTGTTTTGTAAAAGCTGTGGAAAAAGAAGAGAGTGAAGGATATTGCGCCATGTTTACAAAGCCTTCTAACTTTACAAAATTTTTGGCGATCACAAAATATTTGCTTAACTGAATGTTTTTTCTGGTAGAGCAGTTAGGAGCACTGTTTTAGAATATTATTACTCTGATCATACAACAAAAAATTCTAAATCCCTCATGATTGTAAGTTATATATTTTCTTGAATTATTTCTTTTAGAATATTACTCTATGATCCAGTAACATATTTTCTTTTCTAGAGGTGTGATCTATTTGCTCTAACCTCTCTGTCACAATCCCTGACTTCCCCATTCACTCTCTCTCTCCCTGGTGCTTTCACATGTAGTAATGCCAACCCCATATATGCCCATATATGGAAGTTTAGAGGGTGTTTCTTCTTAAAAACATTTAAATTTGTATGTAAATGAGTGGTGGTGTTCGTAGCTTGATGTTGGTAAATTAGGCACAGCTCGCATTTAAATGTGCATTGTGTAACTTTGAGTCAACTTTTTGAGGTAGAGGGTCTGCCACCTGCTTGTCTCCATGGAGATGATATTACTTTGTCTGAAATGTTTCACGGTGTGGCAGTAAACTTTTCTGTTTTCCACTCATTCAATTATGGGTGTTTTTAGTGGCAACTTTTGCTTTTTTCCTTGGAGATAATAGACTCTGTTCACTCTTATGCCACAAACCAGAAATAATTCAGTGGTGACGGAGGTTGAAAGGGTGGGTGGCTCTCTTGTTGTACAGTGGTGTGACTTGGTGTAGCATGTGACAGCTGTACAGATGGTGAAGTAGGCTGACTTCTTGGCACAAAATGCCCTGATATTTTTGCCTGCTTTTTTCCATCTTTATCTCATTACTGTATCAGGGTAGCTGCGGGGTTTTAAAGTCTTAAAAAGGTCTTAAATTTCATGTTCTTAAATTAAGGCCTTAAAAAGTCTTATTTTTTCACTTAGGTCTTAAATTTCATTAGCCTATTTTTTGTATACTCAACCAGGTTGCTGTGCAATGTTAAATGGATTGAAGAAAAAACAACAACAACGTGAGCAATGAGTAAAAAATCAGTAGAGTGGAGGAAGATGTTAGATGGATCATGGGGAAGTGTAGATTTAATTCACAGTGACTCTTAGATTCTAGTAGTTGGTTGGTCATTATTTGAATTGGAACTGGTGTTTTTCGCCCGCAGAATGGGTGCGATGTTGGTTTAAATTTTCATTTAAGTGGTCTTAAAAAGTCTTTAAAAAGTCTTAAAATTGGGGTAGTCAAACCTGGGGATGTCCTGTGTATACTAGAGAAAACCACATGTAAATGCCAAACATGCAAACACATCGGCAGCAAATATAGTATCTTATAGTATCTTAAGAAACAAAATATATGGGCAAGCAGTTGGTAGGACACTTAGTTCAAATGCTTCAAAGTTTAGATGAACAATTATAATTAAATATTTTACCTTCATGTGTCCATCGCATGACGACCACAGGTATGTTATCCAGCCATCCGGATAATTAGCTTCTCTTCCGATAAAAATGATGATAGATGATAGATGGCGCCGTAACATATTTAACCAATAGATGCCGCTATTCAGCCTCATCACAGTGCGGCCTCATTGTCTATGCATGTGAGGATGCTGTGTTGTTTTTTTCCGGAGGGATGTAGTCAAGGTGGGGGCCCTAACTATAAAGCGCTATGGGAAACACTGCATTTGGAAACATGAAAACGTGATCAAACCCACTGAAGTAAATGTGATCAGTGGTAAAATGAAGACTGCAGACATATGTGCTGTTTGAAATCATCTTGAATTTGTCACCATCATCTCTTCTAATCGCTCGGAGTTGCGTGTCAGTGGGGAAATGATGAAAATTGAGGTATGGATTGGAATTATGGCTGGGTATCATTAAGAAGTTGCCGATACGATACATACCTCGATACACAGGCCACTATACTATACATATCTCGATACAGTGCACTTTCGATTCGATATGATATATTTCAAATCGATTCGATACAGTTCAATAAAAAAAGGCTAAATCATGGCTGTGATACTAAAAGTGTTTGTTAAACCACTTCTTGTGCAAAGTTCATATGAAACACAAACATTTAAATCCTCACAACAATGTCAAAATGTCAAATGTGTTGCATAAATGAGCTTCCTTTCTCTCCACAAGCAACAAAACTGTAGCTCTGTAACAAAATAATTTAGTAAAACACGTAAAAATACTCTTTGGTGATATATCGATACAGCAGCCCACGATATCGATACTGTATCATCACATTAAACGATACGATATATCGATATTCCGATATTTTTGCACACCCCTAGTTGTAATTGTTGATTAGGCGAACATAACAGAACGCTACGATGACATGGAGATGAAGAAAATTGGGACATTTTTCCTAGATTTTGTCAGACTTACTACCGCAAACAGAGCCTGCCAGAAATTGCCGTCGCATGTTTCCAAAAAATCTTTCTGGTTTGTGATGTAAGCGTGAATAGAGCCTATGAAGTTTAATGCCATACTGTGAAACATTCCAAGCAAAGCAATTACATCATCATGAAGGTATACAAGAAAAGTTACATATTGCACCTTTTAAGAAGAAATTTGAGTGCTTCAGAATGCTTTGTCAATCCAACGCAGAGTTCAGCTGCCAGAGAGTGACGGTTTTATCTAGTTAGAGACTTTGTTGGGTGAGAACTGTGGTGAAACAAAAGCTGTCTCTATTCCAGCGACTTATTGGGCGGGGATAAGGATTACTTAAAATGGGACTAAACGCCTAAACTCCGCCCACACAATCACATTGCAAACAGCTGTTAAACTGGGCAGTACCTGGAGGACTAAAGGGGAGAGTGAGGGGGAGGAGGGGCGGGGTCTGGAGGACTAAAGGGGAGAGTGAGATAGGGATGAGGGTCGGGGTCTGGAGGACTAAAGGGGAGAGTGAGGTAGGGATGAGGGGCGGGGTCTGGAGGACTAAAGGGGAGAGTGAGGTAGGGTTAAGGGGCGGGGTCTAGTGAACTAAAGGGGTGAGTGAGGGAGGAAGAGGGAGGACTAAAGGGGAGAGTGAGGGAGGTAGGAGGTGCGGGGACTGGAGGACTAAAGGGGAGAGTGAGGGGGAGGAAGAGGTCTGTAGGACTAAAGGGGAGCGTGAGGAAGGAGGAGGGGCAGGGTCTGGTGGACTAAAGGGGAGACAGGGAGGAGGAAAAGGAGCGGGGTCTAGTGGACTAAAGGGGAGAGAGGGAGGAAAAGGGACGGGGTCTGGAGGACTAAAGGGGAGAGTCAGGCAGGAAAAAGGGTGGGGTCTAGTGAACTAAAGGGGTGAGTGCAGGAGGAAGAGGGAGGACTAAAGGGGAGAGTGAAGGAGGTAGGAGGTGCGGGGACTAGAGAACTAAAGGGGAGAGTGAGGGGGGAGGAAGGGGTCTGTAGAACTAAAGGGGTGGGGTCTAGTGAACTAAAGGGGTGAGTGAGGGAGGAAGAGGGAGGACTAAAGGGGAGAGTGAGGGAGATAGGAGGTGCGGGGACTGGAGGACTAAAGGGGAGAGTGAGGGAGGTAGAAGGTGCAGGGACTGTAGGACTAAAGGGGAGAGTGAGGGGTGAGGAGGGGCAAGGTCTGGAGGACTTAAAAAGTGTAGAAAAATGACTAGAGAAAGTAGCTAATGCTATTAAAACACCATATACACAGTTTAGTAGTGCAAAGTTTTTAGTTCCAATTAAATTCAGAAACAGGACCTTTCATTTGTCACATTTTTCAGTCTATAACATATTCACATTGCACATTGTGTCCTTAGGCAAGACACCTCCCCCTTATACAGGCTCCAAAGGCATCTCTGTAGAACTCATAATATATATTGTGATGTATCTGTTCTAACTACATGTTTCTATTTTAGAGATGCTTTTGAACGTGACCTCTTTGGCGCTGTTGGGCAAACTCATGGTGAGCGCCGCCTTCAACATCACCTATGTGTACACGGCAGAGCTCTACCCAACAGTTATCAGGTAAACGGTTATTATTTTTAATCAGTGTAAAAAGTATTGCTTAAAACGTTGTGTTACTCATATATTTAAAAATGCATTGTGTAACTTTTCTGCAGGGGGTCCGCAACCTGTTTGTTCCATTGAGATGTAAATGCTTTGGTTTAAATTGTCCACAGTATGGCATTAAACTAATCTGTCTTGCATTTAGTCATCTACAGGTATCATTTATGGCTCACGATATCTTTAAAAACGTCCATTGTTACTGTGAGTGGGGTCGCTTCTCCACAGATCTAACCTGTAATTTGGCTTGCAAGTCTTCATGGATATACTTACATTTAAGGCAAGCAGGTGACGGACCCCCCAGCAGACAAATTACAGAGTGCATCTTTAAAGGCGTTGTACTTGGTTTTTACTGTGCTTTTACTGTTCAGCACTTTTATAATACATTCTTAGCATCCTAACTTTTCACTGGGATAAGTTTCTAAGCACTTTTCACAGTCCAGAATGGAGTTTTTACCATCACGGTAATGCTAGCAACAACTAGCATGCTAACTGCGCATCAGCCTTACTTCCTGCTTCCCTAACAATAAAAATGCATTATAATTACATACAGACAGCACACAGCGGTCTCATTTTAACCATAAGAGCTGCAACTTTTTACAACTGTACTGTCTCTAGTACTGTCTGGGATAGTCCATCAGTTGTTTCCAAGTGGTCCTCATATACCAAAGTCTCTGAATGGATAACACCATTTCTCCTTATTTTCTTATGGTTCTTCTAAAACCGTTTACAAGTTACAGCAAAACAATGCAAGTCCAAAAAATACAAGTTATTCTCAGTTGATTACAATTTTAGTTAGTTTTTAAATTAGGGATGGGCATGATTTGATAATTGATCATTAAGAATTTCATCGATTATGTTCATTTTTAATCGACAAACCGAATGTAAGTTGCTGTGCGTAGCCTAGGGTGACCAAATGTCCGTGTCCGGGGACAAACGGGGCTCCAGACATGTAGCAGAAGGAGCGAGCAGACACAAACAGTCGATCAGTCTGCAACATGCCGAAGCGCAAANCTTCACATGCAACAGAAACAATTTTACAATATAAAAAATAACAGCAACCCCACCCCATTATTTCATGCATATTATACAACAATAAAACATAACATAAAGCTGCTAAAGGTTATAGTAAATATATAAATAGAGAGCTAAAAACAGATGGAGACTAAATAAAATATTAATTGTAATTTTAATTTAAAAGCAAATAGTTAATAATATAATAATAATAATAATAATAATAATAATAAAAAAACAAGTAAAAGTTTCAATTAAAAGCGAAATTAAAAAGATATGTTTTTGAGTTTACTTTTAAAATATAACCTCGCAGCGGACCTCAGATCCTCAGGTGACTGTTCCACAAACGGGGGCCGTAAAAGCTGAATGTCGCCTCACCGTGAGTTTTAGTTGGACTCTTGGACAGTTAAAAGACGAGACCTGAGGACCTGAGAGTCGAGAGGCCATATGATAAAAGCAGATCAGATAAATAAATAGGACTAAGACCATTAAGAGCTTTATAAACTAATAAATAACTTTAAAATCTATCCTTAGCATTAGTTGTGTTGTAAACATGTTGCAAATGACATGTGTCCAAATCCAGAGAGCCCAGCCCTCTGCTGCTCTGTGCTCTGCCTCTGCTCTAGCTCCACAGTGGAGCGTCTGTGGCTGAAGACACACACTGACTCCACTAATACTCAACTCTGACATTTAGACTCCTGACCTCATGTTTAATGTTGCTTGGTGCAGGTTTCAGCAGAAATGTGGACAGAAACACATCTGAGTATTTTGGCTGTAGATTCTCCAGGTATAAGAGGACAGACTATTGTCAGTCAGAGTACTGGTGCAGAAGACTCACACTGTAAATCTGCATAATCCTTGTTACTATGAATACATGAATCACACAATCAAGTGCCTTTGACAGCTTGGATTAGTCATTTTACTAAACCAACTTAAGATCATTAATGTTTTTTCTCGATTTTGCAATTTTACTTCCTGATTGGAAATTATGACATCACACAAGGGAATGCCACTGTAGAATGAGCCACTTATACTCCTTTAATGTACACAGAATTTATAAATTAATCAGCATGAGAAAAAATTTATTTCTTACATGCAAATTCTGCAGAATCTTTGGACAGAATTCTGCTTAGTGTGATGTCATCAGTGTGGACCTTTGTAAAGTAGAGCTCTATACTTTCTGTATCTGAAAATATTTTTCAGTTTTTACTCTCAAATTGCTTTTTGCTTGGTGTAAAAATAGAATTTATATTTACAGCAGGTATTATTGCACCAAAATGAATCAGAATTACTAACCTTTTAATGACTAATTAGTAACATGACTGACCTCCAGATGCTAAATAGATCGACTATATGATTTAAAGTGCTCTTTTTCCTATGCAAGTACAGACAGCACACAAACTAGAACAGTTTTAGAAACATATTTGGAATTAAAGCTGTATCATCTTTAAAGGTGCGCTGTGTCACCTGCTTGTTTCTATGAAGATGTCATTGCTGTGCCTGGAATGTTCCACAGTGTGACATTAAACAGCTCAGCCAAAATTACCTGGAAATACAGGCATTCTGACTGTGAGCGGGGTCAAGCAATAACATATCCACCAGAACCCTCTGTCAGAAAAGTTACACCATGCACCTTTAATAATATTTAATAACAAACTAAGGCACCAACTATAAAGAATGAACTGATGAAAAAGTAGAGCTGTGTTGTTTTTTTGTAATTTTTTTGTATTTAGCAAAGCAAAAGCATTTAATAGATAGATAAAGATAAGATGAAACATAAACATAATAATAATAATTATTATTATTATACAGCAGATAATACCACCAGAGTTCGAAGCTAAAAAAAGTGGATTAAAAAAAAATATATATATATATTATATATACTATCTATATAGTATTATGATATATGTAATTACCGGACTATCCTCATGAAACTAAAACTGGCACAAAGTTCAACAGATTCAACACCAAACTTATTTCAAACTCCAAACTCCCAAATGTGAAGTTTCAATTACAATAATCAAATCATGAAAAAGGAAAAACAAAAAGCAAACCAAATGAGCAAATGTTCCACTACATACCAAACTCTGATGCTGGGATCTTAAAAGTGCTGCAGTGAATTTCAAATATGACTCCAGAGCTTTTGGAGATGGTTCAAATCTGAGCTGTTGTCATCTTTAAGTATAAATGAAGCACAGTGTGATGCATACAGCTGCTCTGCTCAGACTAAAGTAGCAAAAAAAAAACCCTCATCCGTCTTTCATTCTTGACTCAGAGTCATGGCACTCCTCAGTTTTGTGAATGTTTGGTCCACCCAGATACATCTTGTATACAAAAGATTGTGATCATTTTTTCATCTGAAAATATTGACAGCTAACGTGTGAATCATGCGGAATGACTGCCAGGCATCTCACAAAAGGACAGGTAAAGTACAATACAAGTATGTGTGCCAAAAACAAAAGCAGGATTTAAAGGTTCCTTCAGAGCAGACATGTCAGACTCAGGCCCGGGGGACAAATTTGACCCGCGATATAATTATATTTGTCCCGTGAGATCATATCAAATATGTATCAGAGGTGACCCACCGGCTACAGATAGACTCTAGAAACATTATTTATTTAAAATTTTGTTATTATTTTGTGTTTTGCTTGTTCTGGGTTCAGATGTTTCAGCAAAATTATTATTAAACATTTATTTTAATAAGAAAAGGTTTAACATTACATATCTCAAAAGAAGAGAAAACATGCAGATGTTGTGGAAAATTTTCAATTAACATTTAGTTTGGCCCACGACTTAGTCCCAGTTATTAATTTTGGCCTTTTGTGAATTTGAGTTTGACGCTCCTGCTTCAGAGGGTCAGACGTGACCTTGAATTGTGAAGCCCATTTTTTTTTTGTCCGTGTCTACATGTTTAGTGTTTCCTGTAATTTATTTTACTTTATTCATTTCTATATAATGACAATGATAAAGTAATACCATGCTCAAGTACGATTACACAGTAATTGTCGTAATTATGTAGTACATAAGTAGTAATTGTGTAGTTCATAAGTAGATTACATAGTACTTGAAAGGTGCAGTATGTCAAGTATGAAAATACTACTTTTACTTTTTCTTACAACAAACCATCTTTCTGTCTCATTTATTCTTTTTCTCTTTAAATCTTTGTTTTACCAGCTGTAATGATAATTCAAATATTACAATGTCATGGTAAAGGTCACGTTTAATGCCATACTGTGAAACATTCCAGACTAACATAACATCTCCATGGAGAAAAGTTACACAATGCACCTTTAACTGTATTATAATCTTTTTGTATTTGTTTACTGTTAGAAGGCGACCGTTCGTGTCTACAGAAGTCCACATAAATAAAATGTTGCATTCTTATTGGAAGAGTTTAATTATTTTGTATTATTATGATCTTAAACCTGTTCTACTCTCAGATATTTTAGTGATATTCTCTTTTGTTCTCGTGGAATGTTTAATAACCATCCATCATATTAGTAGGTTCACTGAGTCATCCAAAAATCTGCTGTAGGTCCAGCTCAGCCAGTCCAATGCAAAATGTGGAACAGACAAACAAGTTCGTCTATTTGATTTCATGGATCATTAATAAGCAAAACAAAAACCAGGCTTGGCATTTGCTAATTTAGAATTTTAATTACCTAATGACCTAGAAAATGTGCCGCCAACTCACAGACGTCACTGGTCAAGACCACATCAAAGCTCTGACCCTTTTGGAATGATCTTTTGAACTCGTTGAACTAAACTGGGGCATAGTTGTGCGTTCTTATGTCATGTGTGGTGTAACTTTATTTATTTTATGGATGCGTTTATTGTACTGAAAAACATCGAAAAACAGGTGTCCTTACTCAGAGAGGGCTTGCGTCTCCACAAACCTGACTCTTATTTCCCATGGAGAAGGTTTCCATGAAAATGTTGTTCCTTTCGCTG